ATTTTTATCAGAGTATAAGAAATGGTCTTTACTATACCCAGAGGTATCAAAATAGTGCAAGTCACATTCTATTTCATTGTAAAAGTCCTCTGTAACTATAGAATACATTAAAGAATCTGTATCTGTCATAAGAAATTTTTTGTTCTTAAATTTTGACATATAATTATAGTGGAAATCATACATTATTACTTTACTAATATCCAAAATTGTCATTCCTAAATATATTGGTTTATTAAACTTTACAACTAATTTATTTAAATGTATAGCATGTAAATTGTTATCGAACTTTTTGCTACAGTCAAACCTTGGATTAGTGACATATTTTGTTAATAGTGACTCATCCTTGAGATATATATCACGAAACTTGCGTTGATTCATAATTGTTCGACCAAAGAGACTATTATTTAACAATTTGTAAAAGTCTTTTTCGAAATCATTTTTAGCACTTTTTCGTTTTTCAATATTAAAATTAATATAGGGTGCAAGCCATTTAGATTGTCTAAATTTTAAAATTCTATGGTATTTTGTAACAGTCAAACCCAATTCCTCATATTTTTGTAATGCTTTATAATGTAAAATATATTTAGTTTTGTCATTTAAATTAGGTATTAATTTGCCATTCATTTTCTCTGGTGCTAATGGATAGTCATTATGTAAATCATGTAAGCTTTTATCATATTTTAAATCAACTTCTAAAATGTATCCAAACTCATCATTTTGATTATATTTGTAGTCTATCTCATTAGTCCAACGGAATTCATCCACAGGCAGTGGCTCGCACATAGCTGTGGAGTATAGCGAGTTACAATCTAAATATATTAAATACACACTCTCTTGATTGGAATCATAATGTTCGCCCATATATCTATTATTGGCTTTATATTTATTATTATTATATTATTATATTATTATATTATTTATTATTAGCGTAACGTGTAGAAATCATACTGACTCCTCCTCTGATCGCACTTTCTATGAACAAATGCATGTCAATATCTTGAAATAATTGTAATTTTATACCAGTCATTCTAAGACAGGCCTCCCATGTTAGTCCTGGAAGTGAATACATATGTACGGGGTCAAGTTTATAATCCTTTAAACAAAGGTCTCTAAATGTCTCAAACACATCAGCCAACAGCAATACATCTGTTTTAAGATATAAATCATGATATTCTTGTAAATTGTTTATATTAAAATGGGTCCAGACATGTTTTGCATGTTCATATTCGATGGGGGAGATATGTTCTTTAGTTAGAGTACTATAGAATGCTTCAATGGGGGGTAGAGACTCTGCAAACTTATCTGGTCCCGTCATATATTCATAGGGAAATACGCTTTTACGTTGTAGTAGTGGATTGTCTATGAATCTAAATGTATTTAAATTGGAAGCTAATTTGTATAATGGAAGGGACAGAAAGTTATAGGAATCCAAAAATACTAAATCATCAACTGAAAATGAAATGTACTTTTCCATATCCTTGGCTATGCAATTTAATTTACGATCTAACTTTGCATATTTTCCCAAGTGTTGCATTATTAAATGTCCATCATAATTTTTCAAGTTATGGAAGAATATTGGGATTGCAGCTCCACCATCATTGTGGGCAGCTCCACGGTATCGGCCAGATGAATGACAATGATCTCGCACCCTATCAAAATATAGGGGCTTTTCACAAATATGACAATGTGTTGAGTTTTTGAAAGATACCTCTTGCTCAGGAGTCATTACAAGGGGAATGTATATTGACATTTGACGTTTAATGAAGTCATAAGTCTCAAACAACCTTTTGAAAAACACATCCATAACGTTTGCACCACTATATAACTCTTCAGAAATAATCTTAGAATCTCTCACTACAACAAATGCAAATCCAGATGGAGTATGGTTGTTTGAGTTTATAAAGCACTCAAAATCTGCATAAATTACAAAAGGGGCTTTAAGTTGATATTTATAATTTTTAAATTGTAATGTATCTTGTTTAGACATTTCCACTCGTTGGGCATCAAAGTTTTTACAGTATGTTGTGTGACGTTCTAATTTATCATTAGTGTAAAAATGTTGCAAACACAACTTGCAAAAATGCTTCTTACAATTGTATTTTGTAGAGTGGAACATTAACTTATCAAAATCACGAATTAAACAAACAGTAATGTGCTTTACGACCTTCTTGTAATAATAATAAATCGATGTGAGTAATACTATTTAGTTTGGTTGTTCTTAATGGATATATAAATTTATCATATTCAACTCCAAATACATTAACACTTATATTATTCTGTCTTTCAAATTTATCTATATCAGATATTTTCACAGGATACTTTATGTTTGTCATATTCAACAGATTTTCATAGGGTACATAATTGGAGACTCTATTAGCATTTTCATTTTTAGCATTCCTTGGATATAAAGCTGCTAATATCGACCAAAGAAAGCATTTATTATCTGTGTTTTTTTATATTTAAAACTGCATGTTTTTATTTAATTCTCTCTGGTGTTGGAATGTATGACTTTGGAGTTAGGGGCTTATACTTGTAAACATGTAACTGCCAATATTTAGTATGGTCATAAATCCATCCACTGCCTTGGGCTTGATATTTGTGTATAGATGTATCAATCTTTAAAAGTGCATTTTGAATTTGAGACTTTAAATCTCTCTTCTCAATAGTTAAGGTAGTAAGGCTTCTAAAATCTGCAATACATTCTTTTTCATTAACTAATTTTCCATTTTGATCCATTGAATATTTTATAAATTTGATTCTCCTAACTAAAGTCCATTTTATTGGCAGAGGACAAGACTTCAGAGCACTTTCTAGGTCAGCTCTAATCGATTCACCAACAAATTTTATCATTGTGTATGGACAATTATTGCAAGAATTGATATGTCTTTTAAAATGACCAACCACATTTTTCTTACAAAAATTACAATTCTTATGACTTTGTAATATATGCGATTTTAGAACCACATTATCATCACAGATTAAATCACATACCTTGCACAGTTTCACCTTCATTTGATGTACTAACTTGTAGTGGCGGACCAAATTGCTCTTCTTGGACAGCGAGGCGGAGCAGTGTTGACAGGTCGGCATCACGCTCGAGAATGAAATATCACCCGGATGCCACTTCTATATATAGACTCGTCCCCGGTGACGTCACCACCTGGGGATTCCCCAGTCTTGTGACCGCTTCACTTGGCCCTTGTGGCAGTGCCCGTAAAACTATCTAAAAACGCTTATATCTCGAAAACGGCTTGAGATACTGCAAAACGGTTGAACTTCTGGCACACATAGTGGGTGTCAACTTTTGATAACAAACAATATTACAACATAAAAAAATCAAAAAGTAAAAAAAATTTAACATTATTTTATATGGGTACAAATAAAATTTACCATGAAAAATCGTCTAAGTCCATAAAACTGTCTAAAAACGCTTATATCTCGAAAACGGCTTGAGATACGGCAAAACGGTTGAAATTCTGGCACACATAGTGGGTGTCAACTTTTGATAACAAACAATATCACAACATAAAAAAATCAAAAAGTAAAAAAAAAAATTTAACATTATTTTATATGGGTACAAATAAAATTTACCATGAAAAATCGTCTAAGTCCGTAAAACTGTCTAAAAACGCTTATATCTCGAAAACGGCTTGAGATACGGCACAACGGTTGAAATTCTAGCACACATAGTGGGTGTCAACTTTTGATTATAAACAATATTACAACATAAAAAAATCAAAAAGTAATAAAAAAATGTAACATTATTTTATATGGGTAGCACGTATTGGGGAGATCGCCATGAGCCGGGAGCGCGTGCAAACCTCACTCGATTTTGAGAATATACATGTGAATGGATATGGATTTGAAATAGTAATGAAGTTATACAATGGTATTGATCATTTATATAGGCTTGTATTGGCCGAGAGCTGGATTTTTAAAAAAGTGGTCAAAAAAGCTCACCATGTTATTCTTATGGGGAAAACGTGCCTAAAGTGACGTTAAACCACTATATTGCCTCTACTTATGTTTTTGTTGCAAACATATAAAGTAAGTGTTGTCTTAATATTCTAGAGTGTGAGAAATTATACCAGAAAACTGATCAACAGAAATGAGATGAAGAATCAATGACAGAAGCAGTTGAAGCGGTTATTTCCGTTGAAGTGGGTCGTGAAAAAGATGAATATATGAATTTTGAATTGCTTTCATGTTGACGAATTTAATATTGTGATGTAATCATGTAAATGAATACTTTTCAGAATAAAGATATATACCAAAACAAAGTTTGTTTTCTTTACATTTGAATCTATAACTAAATGTCTATTTACATTTTAGTTTTCTTTTAGTTTGTTTTTCTCACTTAATGTTTTCTCATTAAATTCCCCATATCCCATTCTACCCCACAGGAAAATCCCATTCTGCTCCGTGGGTGGGGCGAAACGGGAAATATGTAAACATTATTTAAAATAAAAAAATAAAAATGAAATAAATAAATTTAACCTTTAGTAATGTTACTATTTAGTACTAAATAAAATAAGGTTTCGTTTTCTACCTTTAAGTCGTATTTATTTTACACCTTACACTGTGTATGGTAAAGTAAACAATAAGTATCCCGTTCCGCCCCGAGTTCCCCTACATAGAATTTTGAAACTATACCTATGTCATGTTAAAATAATTGAGAGCATTGCTAGAAAGCTCCTTGATACCATGCAAGTTTGAGATTGACGAACTCATACATGCGGTTATACACTCACTATGGCAAATGATGTTTTCTCACGCGTTTCAAACATAACCGGGAACGCATATATATTTTAGAGTGTAATCCTTTTTCCACCTAGCATCGCACCGTCCTCACAGCCTCAGCATAAATGGCAGTTCAATGAGGGGATTGTATGCAAAAGATATTTGGTCAAACATGTAAGACCCACAATGATGGTTTGATTCCACATTCCATTATAATCAAAATTAAATTGCTATCTATGTACAGTATATACGTAACATACCTCCCAGTACTGCATGTCTCGCATGAAGATGATAGGATGTGAAGAATCATGCTGGGAGAGAAGTTGATGGAAATAACCACTTGCAGCACTCAATATGACACGATGGCACTTGATCAGACCAGCATCAACTGCCAATGTGACATCAACAAACTTCTCTGACAGAAACTGATCACAGCATGCAGACTGCAGATGAGCCTGGTAGCCAGCCCAGTGGACAACGTAATGTGAGAGCATCTACAAAATATATCACACTATAGTTCAGTGTCATGGTTGTTAGGAGGATTAATGCCTAGATTACATATTTTAAATTAATTTTTAAAGTAAGCCTATACAGAATTTGTTTTTTAGAATGAACTGGTAAAATATCCAGTAGCGTTTTAAGAAGTATAAATACCACCACATGATGAACAAAAGCGATGTTACCCAGCAATGACCGCAAATATTTTTCGATACACAGTAGCCTATCTTAAAATGAGTTTTCTCCCTCGCTTTTAGGAACCAATTTTAAATTAAATTTCTTTATTTACCGTGACTAACAACGAAACAACGCTTGATAGTGATTACCGATACTAGCACTATGTAGCCTACTGTTGAACACAAGTTAATTTAGTTTGTTAACACAGCTTGAATATTACAACAGAGACAGTATAGATCATAAACATAAACAAGTGATTTCAATACTAAAAACAAACCAATTAGGAAAAGTCATTACAGGCCATGAGAGTCTGCAGTTGGCGGCAGCCAATACACTTAGGCTATAACTTTACGTCCAGAGAGCACGCCGAAACATATTCAGATTTTCGGCTTGTGTTAAACCTGAGTCAGATATGTTGATGGTGGGCCACCTATAGTGAAGGCACGAAATTCGTATACATGGTATCACAAAAATTGTGATTTCTTTGTTCTTTATTAACCAATCTTTACTATTGATGTACCGTTAGATTATTAGTCATACAATTTCCTAAAAACGCTCAAACTTTATAGTTTTTAATAAAATATCTCGTTGTCAAAATGTTAAGATAGAAATTTGTAAATGGTTGCTATTTTTAATTGGTATAATTTAGAAATCTGTTACTTTAGAGTTTGTAAACCAGTGTGATCGGACGATTGGAACTTATGGGGGGTGGGTAAAAAATGGTTTTCTCATTTTTGACCCTTATAACATATAATTTCTCAATTTCACTACATACCATGTTGTAAGACTGAATACCCCTGCCGCAGTAAACCTGCAGACCAAGCGAATTTCCATTTGCCTGATTGGATTTACACTTCAAAAATGTTTCCTTAAAAATATTACATTTATTCCTTATTTAAATAGAATTAGTTTAACAAGTACTTTTGCTGCAAGTAGGTTTGCTGCAACAGGGAGGGTAAAAGTGTGTTTTTTTTTTTGTAAATTGTAAATTGTTAATAGTTTAGTAAGAAATAAATGCATTTTCCAAATTTGATCAAAATATGTTCATTAACAAGCAAACTACAACAATTTACCTATTCTCCTTAAGAATAATGGGAATTTAAAATTTACCATTTTTTTGAAATTTTCTTCGTAACTATTAGGCGCATGATAACGCTTCAACATACTAAATTATTTAATTTTTAAGCTTCAAAATAGTTTGGAAAGAAATTGCAAAACTTTAAGTATTTTGGGTCAAAAATGTGAAAACCCAATTTTTACCCCATAAAACCCCCCACAATTCCTCGTTCCCAATGTCCGATCATGTTGGTTTCGCAAACTTGTTAAAATAAATGTAGAATTTATGTAGTATTCCCAGATTCAAGAAAAAATTATTAATTATGTTGTTTACATTATGTTAGCCAGGTTCTTGATGAACTTGTCTCCTTAAAAATATCATAATTTACTTTATTCCCTACTTAAATAGCATTAGTTTAACTAGAAAAATTGTAAATGGTGGCTATTTTAATTTTTAAACTTAAATTACCAAAAAATATCTGATTTCATGAAAAAAGATCAAGGATATTTTATTTAGAATTTTTAACTCCCTATCAAACGATACCAAGTTTAAAAAGATTGAATAAGAAATAGCTGAAATATTATGATTTTTAGTTGTAAAATAGGACAAACCTGACTAGCTTAGCCTTTTTCTACATTTTACAACTAAAAATCGTAATATTTCTTATTCCATCTTTTTGAATTTGGTATCGTTTGATAGGGAATTAAAAATGCCAAATAAAAGTGTACTCGTCATTTTTTCATAAAATCAGCCATTTTTTAGTAATTTTAATTCAAAAATTAAAATGGCAGCCATTTTGAAATTTTATGATGAATTTTTTCCTAACATAGGTCTCTAATCTTACTAATATTATAAATGTGAAAGTTTGTGTGTTTGTTTGTTTGAAGTTCAATCACGCATTAACTACTGGACGGATTTTGCTGAAATTTGGCATGATGATAGCTTACATTCCCGATTAACATATAGGCATATTCCTATCTCAAAAATCCTTTCGGGCTCCGCCCCAGTGGCTCTGTAGTTCCCCATGTTAACTTTATGAGTATTCATATTTAAAGGGAATAAAACAATTTAGTCAGCTGTTTCCAATAAAAAGGTATGTTCTATGATATGCAATAGCATTAAAGTTATAAGATTTACCAAAAGGGTGCAGCACAATTTTTTTTTGCATTTATGAAAACAACTATAATATAATCTATATATTAATTTGAAACTGTTTTTCTTTGTCATAGCTATTTTGAGAGAACAGCTGGTCGTAGAAACTCGGTAGGGGTGTCTAAAGAAAGGTCTTGGTCTGTAGATGAGCCATCAAAAGAGAAACGTGGTAAATTCCCTCGGGGCTCTGCCCCAGTGGCCTTTAAAGTCCCATCCCATGTTGTTCTTATGAAGGAAAATGGGGTTTTTGTCACAGCTAATTTGAGAGAACGGCTGGGTGTAGAAACTTGGTAGGGGTGACTAAAGAAAGGTATTGGTCTGTAGGTGAGCCCTCAAAAGAGAAACGAGGTAAATTTCCTTGGGGCTCTGCCCCAGAGGCCTTTAAAGTTCACTCAGCAATTGTATTTACATTATGACCATATGGATAATTTTACACTACCAGCTATTAATGGACCAGCTGTTAATATTCAAATTGTATTCAAAGGTCTACTGAAACTGCCAAAATTAAATGTTTACATTATTATTTATGATTTTAAATTGATTCTCCACTGCATGGCAAGTTTTTTATAGTTTCTACAAAATGATGAATTTGATGAAAATGATGAGTAGGTGAACTAATGTCAATTCAGGTATTTAAAAAAAAGTGTAGGCCTACAGGGTTTTTACTTTGATGTACACATGTAGCTAGGTCGAACAATGCATCTAAACCTCACTACATACAAAACATTCGGAAACACAACAGTGTCATCACATCTCATCGCATTTGCATGATTTGTTATCAAGGCTGGACTAGGTTATGGATTTGGTTCCGCAAATGTTCAAGATTTGTGATCAAATTTCCTACAATTATGGTTCATTCCATCCACGAGAAACATGCACAGCTTTATGTGGTCGATATGGCCAGGCAAAACTACCCCATAAGTTAATGAATTATCAAGTAAGAACAGGATGATTAAATACATGGGTCGATATGGCAAGACAAGGAATTAAAGTTGCTTAGATCGAAGTAAGAATGTTACTGCTATCTGGAGAATCAGATATTTTTATCAAATACAAAACAAAAATTATTTAAATGCTGATAAATAATCTGTATTTTTATGACCAAAGAAAGATGAAGATTTTACTTATAAATCTGGATACAATCTGAATGATTTTTCTAAAGCAGATGGAATTAGTTGTTAGTAATAAATATTGACTCTTTCCGTTACATGATAGACTAATTATATGAACTCATTCTCCCATATAGTGAAAGTGGCTTTGACATGAAACAAACTCATGAACAAACAATTATAAAGACTCCTAAAAAACCTTTTGGGCAACCTAAAGCCGATAAAAGGTAGGAAATATTGTGTTAAACGAATTCAACAATCACGTTTTTTAGGGAACACAATCGTCATACTTATTATTATGCTTATCCTCCCTTCATCATTTAACTAAGATTTTAATGACTTCACTCTATCTATCGCAGTTAGCTGAATTTACATAAAACCTCAAGATTAACCGTCGATTTCGACGGGGTTCCACTAGTTTGAACTAAGCAGAAACAAAAAACTGTGATACACAATGAGAACTGTCAAATAAGGATTGATTACAGTTATGTTTATGTTTTTAATTTCATGAATAATTTGTGATATTTTGCAAATTTTCAATAATTTATTGTTAGTGGTAGAACATTATGGCTATGGTAGATGTGTGATACCATAGTATACCTTAAATTTAAAGAAGCAAATGTTATCAAACTGTGTCCTTCCCCATTGCAAACAGAAAGCTTAAGCATAGCTGCAATAAACATTTTATACTTATATGCCAACCCCGTATGAAGGACGGGTACTCTGCTAGTACTTTAATATAAATACTAAGTTTCTTAATAATCGGTTGAAAAACTTAAAATATAAAAATGGTAATGTGAAATAAACAAAATGGCAAATATCTGGTTAACAAAGCGATTTTGGAAAAAATGTTATTCTGGATTTTGTTATATTTTGACCAATATAGAACCATTTCCATGAGTTAGGCTGTTTACTTGTGGGACACCCTGATTATATTTTTTAGGATCATTCTAAATGTATTGATATTTCTCCATGTAGGGAATTTAATTTACTATTTTTTTCTTAAACCGAAGATTTTCAAACTTTTTGCTAACTACGTCCAAACGCATTGCTAAAATTGATAACTACTGTTCTTCTCATTATATCCTAAATTCTGTGCAAAGCTCGGTCCCACAGGAACTATATATATAAACGAACTTATATTCGGACTCGGACAAAGCTGTTTTTTGGCGAAAAATGTGTTATTTATATATGTATGTTAATGTTATTTAAGGGTACCTACAAAAAAATCCCTACCAGTTTAAAAATTAAAGCATGCCAGACAGAGGTAAAGTTTTACGTTTGGTCAACACAGATGAGCAGTAGGTAAACAGACGCGTTGAGACTGTAGACTGTAGAGGATTATTTGGTTCAGGAATGCCGGGCATGCGGTACTCGCACACGGACACTACAGTATTGATTTTTAGAGCCAAAATGTTTTTACCATCGGAAGGCAGGTCTGTGAATTATGAGGGAAATGTGCTTTCATAATCATAAACTTGATAATAATCTTGCAGAGTTTCGACGACATCAAAATACACCGCCTATTTATTTAACTGACATTTTTATTAACATAAAATACTGCATACAAGACAACTTGAGTGTTGATTCGAGTCAGAGAATAATGGAACAATACAGGAATATTATTTGATTTGATAACAGTCGTAGATTGCTTTAAAATCGTATACATGAGTTTTAAGTGGTTTGGCATTTGGAACAAACAATCCTGAAATATATCTTGTAAAAAAAAATATTAAAAAACAAGTAAACTAATTATAAGAATCCAGTATTTAAAAACCATACAACACCTATTGGTCAAGCAATATGGAAACAATAATAAATAATTAAATTCACTATATCAACATCAAAGCAAATCCCTATAAAACTACTTTTACCCGTTAAAATAATGTTGAGGCTAATCTAAACATAGTCGAGATAGCTTAAACCTTTTAAACCCAGTTCAATGTTTGACAGCTGAAAATTAAGCCTATAACTTATTTATCAACACATTGTTAGTATCTATTAATTAGCTCACTCACGAAAAATTAATATTAGTTATAAAAAACGTTGATGATAACAACTCATAGCTAACCTTATTACTTGTAGAGGTAGAGAATAAAATCGAAATGGATATTTGATTGCCACTCGTAATTTGGACTCGTTTTGTTCAAACACCTGCAAGAAAGACAGAAGACCTCAAAATGTTAGACGGCTGCGCGCAGCCTGCCCAAAACTGAGAAATTGCGTGAGCAACGTTATTGATCTGGTTTTTGCTCACCACACACCCTTCGGTCCAACACGCCTACAACATGGATACTCTGGCGTTCTTATACCATGCCAGGGGTGTTTACTAATTACTGAACTATTAAATGTATGGAAACTAATTAACGAATACATCTATATCTATAAACGAGGAACTAGTATGTATGTATGTATGTATGTATGTATGTATGTATGTACCTTATGGACTCCGAAACCCCTCGACAGATTGTAATGAAACTTTTAGGCATTATTATTATTCAAGGATGGTTAGTGTGAAGTTTGGTGGAGATCCGTCAAAACAGCTCCGCCCTAGAGGTTTAAGTTGGTCAATGTCAGACTTTTTGAACTACAATGTTTACAAATAAATGTAACAAAAAAACCACTAAGTGGTAAAACACTTTCCCCGCCAAGTCAGCAATCCAAAAAATTTAATAAATTTATTTTTGTAGAAAACTAACAGTTAAAATAAAAATCCTCTTTTCTCTGATATATAGACCACGGCACAACTACATCTCATTTAATTTCAATAATATTGTTTGTGTAGAACTAAATTCTACATTTTTGGTCTTATCTGCTTTAAACCGATTAAAAACTTTTTGACACACGTACCAAAATTACTATTTAACAAACCCCCTGGGCTTATACTCAGTTTCAAATTTCATCAATAGTCATCTTGAACAACATAAAATGCGTTGGTGTTACATAAGTGTTCTGATAATTAAACCCGTGTATCTAAAGACTAGTGTAAATTGAGCCCTTATTAGAGAAGTAAAAATGTAATCAAACAGATCAGGTTTGTTATAAATAGCATAAGGCAAAACAAATATTGAAAAACTCATTTATCCTAAATTTACATAAAAACTTTTTAATTGCTTGTTTAACATACGTGGAGTGATTTTCCCGATCGGTTTACTTGTTTTAGTGTATCAAAACATAAAACAAACCTTAGTACTGGTACTAATTTTCAAGTTCCTAGGTTTCATATGTTTTGATAAGTTTGAAACCGTTGTGTATGTTGTGTGTGTATTAAACTGTTAAAAATGACGAGCTGCTGTACCAGTGTACCATCGGTACACTGCATTTGTCAATGGAAAGTATCGGGGAATATCACTGGTCTAAGTAATTTTATATAGTAAGTAGTTCAAATCATTCGGTATACCTGAAAAAAAAACTTTTAAAAAAGTTTTAAAATAATTTTTCAAATGTTCCTATGAATTTCTCTAACATTTAAATTAATTGAGATTTAATCGCAGCTGGCCCTTCTTTTGTTTTGTTTTTAATCCCATGTTATTTAAATGGGCAAAAATCGTACTTTGAGGGCTTGCCAAGGGTTTATGGGTCAACGCACCGACTTGAGACCCTCAAAAGGCACTTGTTGAAAGCCTGGATGTAATTATGTGTTTTTCTTAGGGGGTTTGAGAGCATAGTTTTGTTCTGATCTTTCGATTCAAATACAGTTCAGCCGGTGATTGTCCGCATTGTAGAGGTACAGCTCGGTAGCGAAACAGTATGTATTGAATTTGTGATTTAATATTCTTTCGAGGATCTTCAGCACAATTTTTCAAAGATGTCTTTAACGTTTGCACACAGCGTTCCGCTAATCCATTGGTTGCTGGGTGTCCTGGGGTGATAAATTTTTGAAATATGCCTCTTTGTCGGCAAAAGTCTGTAAATTCTTGGCTAGTAAAAATTGTGGCATTATCAGGCCAGGAGGATAAGTTACCGCAGGATAACTTATAACCGGATAACTTATAACTTGTAACTTATAACTTATACCGCAGGATAAATAGTGCAGCAGGATATCCATGTGAAGAGAATATATCATTTAGAAATTCTATGGTCGTAGCAGTGGATGGTGCGCTTTTGGTTATTCGAACCTCAGGCCATTTAGATTTAGCATCAATCACTACTAGGAAATGGTGTCCTTTAAATGGTCCTGCGTAGTCGATGTGAACTCTTTCAAAGTTTTCCTTAGGGATTTCCGAAGGGTGAAAAACTTTTGTTGGCTGTTATGACTGTAAAGCGCAAGCTGCACATGATCTAACTTTATTTTCAATGTCTTTGTCGATTCCGGGCCAATAACAGTGGAGTCTTGCGAGTCGTTTCATTCTTACCATTCCTATGTGTCTTGCATGAAGCTCTTCTAAAACATAAGAGCGTAGTGATCTAGAAATGTAGTCACGTTATCCTCTGAATACAATTCCTTGATTGGTTGAGTAGATTGGATCATTTGCACTTTCTTTTATTTGTTTCATAAGATCTTTCATTCCTGGATCGTACTAACTTTCTTTTGAAATTGAATCACTCGTGATGTTGATTGATGAGATTTGCAGGATTGAATTCTGTTCTATTTCATCTTCTTCTTTATTCAGTGCTGTGTCGATACCACGATGTTCCGTTGTTTGATAAGTCCTGGATAGAAAGTCTACATTTTGGTGTTGTTCTGCTTTCCGATGTTTGATGTTGTATTCAAATCCTCTGAGGAAAACTGTATAGCGTAAAAGTCGACCAGCTGTCATTGGAGGAACATTCTTTGGGTGAAATATTCGTGTGAATGGTTGATTATCTGTTATCAATTCAAACTTTCTTCCATAGAGGTAGTTGAAAAATTTTCCAATAGAAAATACAATAGCGAGTGCTTCGCGATCAAGTTGGCTGTATTGGGACTCTGATTTTGAAAGTGAGCTTGAGACGAATGCAATGGGCCTTTCTTCTCCATTGATAATGTGTGATAGTAGTAGATGTAAAAGGGGTGAGCTGAAACACCATGCAAAACAAATGGTGAAAAAATCCATTTTGTAAAAATAAAATTCAATTCGACCGGCGAGCCCAGGCGGTAGGAGCGTGCAGATGGTGGAGCGTAATTTGGCACGGTTTGGTGCGTAACTGTGTGGGAAGGTATAATTAACTTATGTTTAAATCAAAAGTATATTTTATTTTGTTTAAAATAATTAATTGTGCTAACTTTTTTATATTTTTTAGTAATTAGTTATTTGTATTTTTGATTTATTTGCTAAAGCAGATTTGGTTAATTGTAATAATTAGTATTTGTGTGAAAGAATACTTGCTGCTATTGTTGAAGTTCTGTTTTGCGTTTTACATATCGGACGGAAGTTGCATAATGAGCGAGGTGTTATCGCAGTAGCCTTTGTTCGCGCTAATGGGCGCGACTTATCGCTATCACAACCTTGGATGTGTTTTTAGAGAACGTGTCCGTGTAAATGACCATGATGTTCTCACCAAGTGCACGCCTCGCTGGTTGCACGCGTTGCCCTCCCCGCCACGAAAGTCTGATTCAATGACCTTTACTGTGATTGCTGAATGGTATATAACCCCATGACTGGATACCGACGTCAGTATCTTCACTGCGAATTGTCACTCTGCTCACCACTACCTACATCTCCAGCATGGCATCATCGGCCCTTACCACTCCCAGCGTTTGGGATATCAGCCTGGTGGAGGGTGCAGGACTGGACAACACCGAGGACCTGTACATCGTCATTAAATCTATATTTCCTCAGGCAAATGTTGAGGTAAGATAGTTTTAATATATTTTATAAACTGAAATAATTGTTTTAGTTGAGATTTATATTAGAGTATTTTTTTATTATACACCTGAATAATTATTAATATAAATAGTATTTTTTAAATAATATCTGGATGGGGACGAACTGTATTAATCATGTTGAAACAAATAATGCTAAATAATAACAATATGAATATTATAAATATATTACTGATTATTTTGGAACAAATATTGTAAAGTTATTATATAGAGATAATTATCTTGACAAATATTACATTTAATTGAGTAGAAATGTACCTTAAAAACCATAAATAAAATATAAACAGACAAAAATACTGCTGTTTAAATTTGATAATTAGTAATATCCATATTTATGATATAAAACAATGATATAATTGTATTTATAATTTGTATGTATAATATTGGAAAAATGTAAAGTATGGATTGAATATTGATCATAATTTATTTTACTAATTAATTGTTTGATTTATTTCAGATAACCAAGCGAGATGAAATCACGTACCGGATGAAATTGCCGTACTGCACAAAGATATCATCAGTGCAGGCAAAGTTTGCTGACTATGCTGATGCTGTCACCGTTGTCAGCGCTGGTGCGGATCTGTCAATTGATCAGACGAAGTGACTCACTGAGCTAAAGAGAAAAATTTCCCAGCGCCGCAACAACGGTCAGTAAAAGAGAAAAATAACTGTGTAGTATTAGTTAGCTATTTTGGTGTTAGTAAAAAAGTGGAATATAAATTTAAAACTATAAAGACATAAAAATTAAATTTAAATTTTACAAGTGCAGTGCAAGTGACAATATAAGATTAAAACAATGCAGAAATACATTTCTACACTAACACTCAAACCCTGTCGCGTGTGTGATTTATGGTATCGCAACCAAGACAATCATTTTAAAAGTTCGCGACACTTATTCGTCTATGATCCAATCGTGTTGATTGAATCTGCTGCTAAGTGTAGATTACAAACATTTCACCTTCCAAATGGACAAGGGCTATTAGATTACCCCAGCTTTTTTTAATATTGCAAACCTTTTGTAATTGACAAAATTGATGAAAAAGTTGATGAGTACAAATCTATAAAGTGTAATGTTATAGTGAAATCTATGTACATAAAAAATAGTTTAGAGACTGAGAAACGTGAATTGAACTTTAAAACTAAAAATGAACCTATACTTATGTCGACTGACTTAGAAGTGTATTACAATGATGTTTAACAAAAGATGGTGAAAGAAGAAAGTAATTTTATGGGGCGTGGATCAGGATGGACTTTAAATGAAATAACTAGTATGGAACTTAGGATAAACCGTTATAACCCTTTGTAGGGTCACAAACACATATCCCTCCCACCAGATATTGCGTCTAAAAAAGTAATCATAAATGTT